GGCGCGCTCAGCTTTTGTGGCGTCGCCACAACAGTAATACCCTCGTCTCGCATTCTCATGGCCTCGCCTTATCTTGGAAATTTCGAAATTTCGGCCCGAACGGAAGCCACAAAGGGTACACGTGTGAACACAAAAGGAAGATTAATCATTGAATGTCGAGTATTTGAATAGCGTTTTGTGTAAACTAATTCATGTGTGATCGGCCAAGTGCGTGCGTGCATGCGTGCTTTGATGGGTCGTGCCCAAGATGATTAGTAGCAGCATTTAACAAGCTAATGTAGCTTTACTTGGTCACATAAAGTTGACCAATTAGGCCCAATTTTTAATTTCAGGTTTTTCATCAGAACTCACACACACACACACACACACACACACACACACATATATATATATATATATATATATATATATATATATATATATATATATATATATATATATATATATATATATATATATATATATATATATATATATATATATATATATGCGTGTGTGTTTACATCTAAGATCAAATATGCTACAGTGAAAAATGTCTTGCTGCAAACACGATTTTGTTGTAGAGGAGTTTCACTGTATTTTCAATTTTCGTAGTTTCATTGAAGTAATCGTTAATTTAAGTTTTTTTGGAGGCGGTCATGAATGCCTCTCAAGTCAAATGAAGGGTTGTGGCTCCATCGAGTGGATGTATTGTAGATTGCGCCTTATAGTCCAGTGCGTGCAATATATGAAAAAAATTAAAAAATAGCCCATTCATTGAAGCTGCGCCTCATAATCCAGTGCGCCTTTTAGTGCGGAAAATACGGTATTTCATTGTTTTTTTTTTTTTTTGATTGTTGGTTATAAATGGGAAGAACGAATGTTACATGCATTCCTTTTCCATCTTATCCTTGTCATGTTATTAATAATCATGTCCTCCACCTTTTAGTCCCAGCAGACGACGATGATGTTATGGTTGTGGACTCTGATGATGCTGATGCTGAGGCATCATCCAGCTCTGCAGCAGTCACAAGCACCACCAAGAGGAAGCATTCAGACGCAGAAACTGGCGAGTCTTCCACCAAGCGCCCACGGACAGATCAGTCAAGTGCAGAAGCTACCCCTGATGACAGTGATGATGACATCATCGCTTTGGACTAAACTCTCCTCTGGTTTCCTCGAGGATCACGAACTATTGCAATTTTGTTTCAAGACAGACGGTAGACTTAACACACCTTTTATGAAGAACAAGGCACAGTTTCTGGTTTTTGTTCCCGCCTCCAGGCAGTTTTCATACTCGCACTGCTCTTGTCAGATGATTCTGTAAATATAGTCAACGTTATAAAATATTCAGCTTTTTGTTCTTGTTAATTGGTAGTAACTATAAAATGAATCTGTTTATGGTATAATTTTTTTTCTTTTGTATTTCTGAAGACTTCTACTCTATTACTCATACTACTTAAGTCAGGGGTTTTGTGCGTTGTCAATATACAAATGACTTACTGTTTGAACCAAAACTTTTTCTTGTTATGTAATATTTAAATGATAGGATGGGGAAAAAATAGACTGGCGGCTACTTGGTGTTTGCCGCTGAAGCTTAAAGACCAGCTTCAAATCTGACCTCCGTTGGGATGGCACAGGGGCACTTGGGCAGTCGGTGCCATGAGGCGATTGTGTGCTACCTCTTCTGTACATCTAATGTGTTAGTCTGCAGTGATAGTGATACCATCTGCAATGTCGGCAGTTCTTTGGTATTCTGATGTAACGATCGTGAAACATTACCAGCAGTGTATTATTTAAAGTTAGACCTGGGGCCTTAGTTACATCTTCTGATGAGACACTGGGTCGGGTTGCATTTAGATAAATGTCAAATTTCTTTCACAGGTTGAAAATTGAACTCATTGAAATGAAGTTACACATTTGCTCTGACACACTGCAGATGAGTTGTCTGCCCAGCTGTCTGCCCCAGTGACCTGACCTATATATTATTGACAATTTCATACTTCGTTGTTATCACATTTGTTGACAGACCTTGAAAGCCTTTTTGGACCAATAAACTTGGACAAGACAAATTTAAAAGCAGCCTTTAGTGTCTGTCTTTGTTGTGGAAAGATTCAAATAATGTTAGGAGTAGAATAGGACAATATGTCTCTCATTGATTTTGTCTATCACTGAAACTTCCGAGAACTTTTTCAGGAAAATGTATTTTTATCACGTTTAAACTGTTTTTTTTGGCCGATCTGCAGGGTATTTTGGGTTTTTTTTTTTTTTTTTTTGCAATATGTGCCATATTAAAATGTTGATTCTTGACACACTAAACCAACTTATTACCTGTTCGGGTTTGCCAACATCAGCTAAATCTGTTTTGTATGCATTTATGCCACTCCAGTAAATATTTGCTGTGTTAAAGGATTAAAGTTTGGGTTTATACAGACAATATTTCTTACTGATAGCACTCGCAAAGTGATTTCCTTTCAATCTTAAAATGCATAGTCATGAACATTGTACCATTCGTTTCACCATCCTTTTTGAAACTGAAAAGCTACTTAAATCTATTTTGCAAGCTATTAGGTAAAAGTGGGTGGGGTCCACCAATTCATTTAATTTTGGAGATTTGAGCTGCATAAATATTGGATTAGTGTAGTCCCCATATCCACTTTTCTGAACGGCACATTTGTGTAAACGAAAGAGTGGTTCAGTGTAGGCCTTAACAGCGCATGCCGCACACCTCAATGCAATTGGTCAGATATGGATCAATCAACAAATTATACACCAAGCGCAAAACATTCTTATTAAGTGAATCTCTGACCTTATGTATTACAGCAGTAATGTACAGTACAATCCCTATGCCGTCATCACCAATGTTGACACTGCCGCCCCTCTGAGGTTGACGCTGATTGGTTGACATCGCGGACCCTCCTCTTTCTGTAGTCAACACTTTTTGACGGGTGGGAAGAGAGGACATTTTGTACTTATCGGTTATCTTTTCAGGAATTTCCAACGAATTGACACTGTAGGGTGATACAGACAGTTGTTGTTTTTTTTCTATGTGTTTTATGTTTTTTGGCAGCGTATGCCGAAAGCGAGAGAGGATAGAGAGAGACAGAGAGACAGAGAGAGAGAGAGAGAGAGAGAAAGCAGCCTGCTGTCAGTGCAGCTTCACGTCTGTCTAACTGACAGCTAACTTTGGGCTCATTGAACAATACAGTGGTTAGCTGTACGGTCAGGGGGAAAGCACCACGGTGTGTGGGAAGTTTTTTTGGTAGCCGACTGCTTTGAAAGAGGAAACGCGGGACTGCATCAAGATGGTGACTTTGTCATCAGTAATTCGCCCTCTGGCTTCTCATCTTCACCGGCAGCTCTTGAGGCACACCAGGCGGAGTCAGTGGCTCACTCCCGTCCGTGGATGTAATCTAACAGCGTGCTCCAGCAGATATGTGTTGTCGCAAAGTGAGTAGCTGCTCTTGCAAACGCCACGATGTGTTGTGAATGTTTTGTTGGGCTACTGTGTGTGTGTGTGACATTTTGGCTCGTGGAGCTAGCAATCTGCAGTAATGTTGATATTAGAAACGTGCAGATAGAGTGCTCTAAAACTCGGACTAGATTTGCGTTGTAATTGAATTTGAAGATGTATTCCACTGATACATGCAGGTTTTGGTTTCCTGTCCCTCCATAGTCTCCACGATCCCCATGTGTAGCACAGGGAAGTCTTTCTATGAGCCTTTGTGTTTAATCTCCTTATCTGTCTACGACACAGGATGCTAGTATGTTTACTTTTCGAGAAGCATCACTATGACGTATATCTGCCAGAACCCGACTGAAATTTGACAACCACTGACGCATAGTACAGTTAGTATTTACCATGCCACTCAATTCTGCTTCCTCCTAAACACTGCAGCAACACATTGAACAGGTTCCTGGTGTGTTTTAGACCCTGATCCGAATCATACAAACTCCTCTGTGAGAAGTGACTGCAACTTCTTCGCCACACCCATGAACCCGTCTTTCTTGTTCTCTTGTGCCAATCAGAACCAGTATGGACACTCTGGTTCAAGGTGTCTGACTCAGAGGCAAATAATGCATGAGTTCACTTCCCCCAAGGTTAGAGGTGCCATATTGTGCCTTCATTTCAGCAAAAAAATTATCACAATCATTCATTCTTTTTGGAGAACGATGAGGCAGAGTAATCACACAACTGAGGCTTAAATGCTGTAAAGCAATTTGGTATGAGGTTAGATATCATACTTACAATATGTCCCAGATTTCACTTAAAATGCTCCACTCATATCAAATCTCATTCTGTTGGGTTGCTGCACCTACCTAGCCATTGCACGGATATTGTGTTCAGGTTAATCACTTCAAATGTCGAATTGGCCGTTGAAATTTTGTGTGAGAACAATACAAGTTTTGACAAGTGTTGTTTTATTTTGCAGCCTGGGTGGGGTAGTGCTTAGCACATCTTCCTGACAGCTCCAAGGTTTGGGGTTTGAATCTCGGTTCCGGCTTTCCTGTGTGGAGTTTGTATGTTCTCCCTGTACTTGTGTGGGTTTTCTCTGGGTATTCCAGCTTCTTGCCCCTTTCCAAAAACACGAATGTTAAATGAAGACGCTAAATTGTCCATCAGTGTGAATGGTTCTTTGCAGAGGGTGGAATCGGTAGTCCGGTGAGTCCCGTCGGTGAGCTTCCGTCGGTATTTCAGGCTGGCCCACTCCGTCCGAGTGCATTGAGGACGGACTTGCCGGTACTACGTCGCACACAGGTGCCGCACACCTGACACACAGCCAAATACAGAAAACATTTTAAAAAATGAAATGACATTGCATACCTTTCAGTCCCACAGACCACAGTAAGATGTGTCCCATATTGTTTTTATCTCAACAATCACCACACAGTCTGTGTATGTGTGTGATTTTTATTGTTTTTTTTTTTTTGGGGGGGGGGGGGGGGGTCTTTATTTGGCTGCATGTCGGCTTATGTGGGTGTCCGGGTGTGACCGAGAAATTACGTTCTCAATGCAGATTGGCTCTCGCTGACAAGGGACGGACTGGGCCCATGTGAGTCGGCCTGAAGTACGGATGGAAACTGTGACGGACAGATACACCTTCAATGTCTCAAGACTCTCAACCTGTTTCTTGACAGAAAATAAAATGACGTATCATAGAAAGTCGATGCGGGTACTCTGGCTTCCTCAATATGCATTAATCTAAATCAAGGGTATTCAAGCTTTTCATCCAAGGGCCACAAGGATTGCAGAGTCTTAAATCATACATGTATAATCATGTATTGCAAATTTTTCACTATATCGCAGGATTGTGCGGCAATCGTTTTTTTTTTTTTTCACACGGACGAATATCACTGCAGAATTAAGTAGAAACAAGCACAAGCCAAGAGGAAAGAGTGCCTAACAGACAATACACCTGCTTCCTGCAGTTATCATTTAGGGCAGCAGAGGCTGCTATCGCTTTTCTATGCAGCAAATATTACATAGGTGTACAGTACTTGCAAATCAAGTTTCTCGAACTTGGCTAGAAAGCTGAAAATGAAAACCTCAAATTAAAGGGATGTTTCTTTGTTTTTTTGTTTTTTTTGGGTACAAATATAATTTTTATTTGTTCTTTGCTGGTGCAACGATTTAGTAGCACAAAGAAAATATGTAAAGCAAATGCAGCATACAGAAGTTTCATTTTATCTCAAGATGACTGTGCGCAAGATGCAGAGACAGCTATCTCCTCGGGCTTTGCAACAAAATGCCGTTGCTAATTGTTACTAATTAGTTTAATTTATACTTTGCAGGCTCAGAAAACAAATACTACACAACCTGAGTACAACTACTACACAACCTGAGTACAGGAAAAATGTCCAAATTCATGGACTATAATGATGTGCTTTAAGTTTATGTAAACTAATTTTCATTTTCATTTCATTTCATTTTCATGATGTCGTTGGTCTTTGTTCAGATGAACATTTGCTCCATTTCTATTCACGCACAGCTCAGTATAATCCACATGACAGTGGTCGGTGGGAACGAACACAAAAGGACAAAATTACCACTCTGCTAGATCCAATCCGGCACTTATTTTACATCACTTTAATGCGTGTCTGTGTTTAATTTGTGGGGGACAACACAGCCGAATGTTCAACAGAATTAGCCACACCTCCTCATTCCTCCATAAGTTCAAAGTTTCCGTAGTAGTCATTGCTCTCATGTTTGCTCACTGTGTGGTTTGAAACCACTCCTCAACCTGAATTTCTACGTTAGCAGCTCTCTCTTTCTGACTACCCCTTCAGATTTGAGAGATGCAGTGTCTCTCACCTCTACTGATGTTTTGCTGCTGTCTTCTTGGAGTTTGTAAAAGTTCCACTTAGGGTTCAGCATTGCTCCTGTTCGCTTTGTGGTGAGGAAGACTCGTGATGTAGACCGGAACTGACTCCGAGCGGACGCACAGCGGCTGACTGAGCATGAAAAGCTTTGAAAGCACGTCATTCGCACGGCGGCAATAACAGAATTAGGCAGCCAAGTGCTCCCAGGAGGAGTCGCGAAAGGCTTAAGGAGATGAAGGTCATCTCCCAGTCAGACCTGTTCAGCTGTGCTCGCAGCGGAAACCTTAAGCCTTGTGCTGCATGATTGCAGATGAAGACAATCAGCAGTTGTTTCCGACTCCTTGAGAGCTACACTGCAGTGATTGTTTCCTCTCTACATGCATTCACATGCATAAAGCAGCGAGCGACTTTCCTTCTCGGCTACCCTTTCAAGCATACTAGTGCATTTGTTTTCTCAGACTTTCAGGAGAAGACGCAATCAGAAGAAGGCAGGGAGTGAAAGCAGACTTTTTCGTAATTAGTCAGGTCCTTGGACGGACTTTGACCCGAGAAGGCTTTTTGACCCAGCCAGGGGTCCCGGTTTGATTCCCTCCCTGTGGTGGGAAGCTGGGGGCGTGCCAGGACATTCCGCAGGTCACTTTGTGTACAGCCAGCCCACTTCGCTCTTATTTAGTCATTACCTTTAAGGAAGAAATGCACGGCTAGAAGGAAGTGGAATTACTCAGCGGTTACTTTTGCATTCAGTTCTTTCAGGCAGCCCGAGAAGCGAGTCTGTCTAGAAGTGTCGGGAGTCATTTCTCACAGTGACAAAGTTACTGTTTCATTTTAAAATGGACTGCTGTTTATCCATGCAGAAAGCAGCCGAATACAACTTGAAAAGTAGGTTTGTTCTTTGTTACGTGTTGGCATGAGACATCCAGTTACAGTACTGTATATTTTGACATGTGTTGTCTTTCTCTTCTTTGTTCCAACCCCCCCTTCCCCTATCGATCCAGTGCATCCCATGTGGCAGGGCCCCCTGGCAGTTCCCGGAGGTGACCGCCAGTCTCCCATTGATATTGTCGTCCGCAAGAGCGTCTTTGATTCCCAGCTGAAACATTTGATCGCTGACTATGACCCAACAACTTGTCAGCAAATCTGGAATAATGGTTACTCCTTCTTGGTTGAATATGATGACACTACGGACAAGTCAAGTAAGTGATCTTCTGTAAAATATTCATGTGTTTATGTTCTCAAAATACAGCGGCTACGCTATCAATGAACTCTATAGTTCGCTCTTTCCCATTTCTATGGCAGTATTACTGATTTCCGTTCCCTTGAATTCAGAACAAACTCAGAAGTTTCCACCACGCGCAAAAGATGCTCTCCTTTGTCAGCCGCTTTTAAAAAAAGTGTTCTGTGGTAAAGTCAGTGATGAATGTAACGTTACGCAGAAGAACCACAGATAAAACCACCATGTGGATCTGGTGACTGTCATGTGACTGTGACTGTGTCAGTCATTCTCTCGAGCAGGGGTAGGGAACTCGGGTTCCTCGAGAGCCATATCCTGCCTGTTTTAGATCTCTCTGATTCAAATGATCTGCTCAGCAGCAAGCTTTGTAGAAGCCTGAAAAACATCATGTTGGAGTAGGGAAAGATCTAAAACGGGGCAGGATATGGCTCTCGAGGAACTGGAGTTCCCTACACCTGCTCGAGACTGCAAGAATAATCGTGACTGGGTTACGCAATGAAGCCGACTGTTGACAAATCAACTCTTGGAACAGACTGCTTGTGCTAATTCCTTTTTTTTTTTTTTTTTTTTTTTAAAAAGGAAAGATTACTCTGATTCAGGTCACATGTTTGGAGTCTTTGAATTATGGCCTTAGAATGCTGGGTGCATGAAAGGGTTAAAATTGAAATGCGGATAAGATAACAATATTTTATGACTCAACTGATTATAGACGTGGTCAGTGGCAACATGATGACCATTTGGCTCTCCATAATACCATGATCAAAATCGAGCTTTATTAGCTTTGTAAAAGGCAACATTTTTGCTACAATTTTTGAATTCAAATTAGACCGTCTATTTGCTCATAAAATAAAGTTATGACTCGTTGACTTCAGTCCAAATTAGAAATCAATCTATTTATGACTTGGCTAGTTCAAGGTCAAATCATTATCCCATGTGCTGCAGTCGATGTAAATAAGTTTATACAACGCAACATACAATTTTACAAAAATTGTAAAAGTATTATTCCTGAATATTTATTTCACTTTCAACCACTCGACATGTTCAGTGGCATCAGTGCTATACATACACATATAGTTCTTAGTGTTTTCTTTGTATTTTTGCCCTCTATGGACAATAAAAGCGGTATTGTGCTATGACCAAAACATAAATATAAATCTATATAAATAAAACATGAATTGGAATATTTCATATCACACAAATTTATGCTTTGTCTTTGATTTAAAGATGACAATACGCATAAATCTACAAAAATTGTAGAAATTGAAACATATGGGGTAACCCATGTGTTACGAAAATCGTAGAAATTGTAACACTAGAGTTACGCAGCAACTTGTTCCTTTTTAGTGCTGTTTACCTGTTACAATTTTAATCTTTCAGCATTTCTAGTTTTAATGCAAATTGTTGTTGACGAGAATGCTATTTCGAATGCTGGCTACTGTTGAGGTGCCCTCGAACAAAGTACCAATTGGATGTATTGCAATAGGTTAATAGCTGCAATTACAGTGATGAGTTATAGTTCACTAGAGCCTCTCACCAAAATGATCAGGCTATTTGTAGGCCTGCGTTACTACATGAACAACCTCCCCACCTGCCCATACTTTCTGAAAAATGGTTTTCCTCTGAGAGAATAAGATTACTGTGATATCATACTGTCTTTTTTTTTTCCAATTATTATTCTTGTTAACTTGGTCTCTGAAAGTCAACTCTGGAAAAATCATGTCCTCTCATTCTCTTCCACAGCTTTGAAAGGGGGCCCTTTGCAAGACAAATTTAGGCTGTGCCAGTTCCACTTCCACTGGGGCGAGAGCAACGCCTGGGGGTCAGAGCACACCGTGGACAGGAGGTTATTTCCTGCAGAGGTATGCTACAATGTCTATAATGTGCCGTTTCACCTATTCGGCCTTTGCTTGGATGTTTAAATTATGAGATCAGCTGAGAAAATTCCGCATTATAATGCTCACCCTAGAACAGGTGTAGGGAACTCCGGGTCCTCACGAGCCATATCCTGCCTGTTTTCGACCTCTCCTTGCAAGCAGACACAGAGCTAAATAAAAGTTAACACACACACACACACACACACACACACACACACACACACACACACACACACACACACACACACACACACACTGTGGTGAAATAAAATCAATGTGGGACAATATCATTGCGGTCTGTGGGCCCGAGAGGCATACAAAAATTAAGCATGCTTCGAGAGCAGGAAACGAGAAAGTTGACGAATCCGATGCATGGATTGATTTGTTTACAGCTGTTGAACTGTCAATCATGGTAGCATTCATCAGCCCACACAACAACCAGTCACCAGATTGACAAGCAATGTTCAAACTTTGTTTTTCTATCAGAGGATTCCCTCCTCTTCTCCACTCCAAGCAATGCGTGTTTTGTCACCCTGGCTCACAAACACATGCGAGAGACATGACGCGTGTTTCCGTAAGTCGTCAGCGAAACATGAGTCCGTCAGCGACGGACTGAGAAGGTCCGTCGGTGCTGACCTGGTTAGTGACGATTCTGGTGACAACCCCCTTGTGTCCTTGCTTCATTCTTCTGTCAGGTTTTCGAAGTTTCTTGTGAATCACCAGGAAACGTCCGTCTGTCAGTGCCAGACTGACGGACCTTCTCTTATTACTGACGGAATGCCCACCTCTACTTTTCTGTGTAGAGTTTGCAGGTCTCCTGGCACTCAGGCTTCCTCCCACATTTGAAAAAAAGGGCATTATAGGTTAATTGAAATATCTCAATTGTCCGTTGGAATACATCTGAGTATGGATGCTTGTTTGTCTATATGTGTGCCTTGGTGACCAGTCCAGGGTGTACTCTGCCTCTCACCTAGAGTAGGATGGGATGGACAAGAGGAGCGCTCTAGAAAATGAATGGATGCAAGACATGATCACTGCAATAGACATCCATTAAGATATATTGTGAGTTAGCTTCTGAGCATTAATTAACAATTGTTATTCCACAAAAGTACAGTTCTATGCACGGTAAGAATGGAGTAGCTTTCATTAATCACTCAACTCACAGTTCCCTTCAGCTCAGTTTCAGTGTCATTCAGCTCACTGTTTTTGTTTGAACGACCTCAATATTTAGTGTTCGGGCTCAGTCTTAACTGCTGCCATCAGTTTCTCAGCAGGCAGCTTTTTTTCAAACAAAAAAAAAAAAGAAAAAAGAAAAAAAACAGTGACCATTACTTTTCCAGCACTTATATATGCAACGCTCACATTTAATGTCACATGCTAATCACAGTGACGTTAACATGTCACGCAATGCTGATGGTGAGGAACAAAAAGTGAGGTTTCTAATCTAATCTTGTGTTTTATCTACATAATTTTTTTTTTCTTTTCTGCTCGTAGCTTAGCTGGTACACCAAGTGTATATCTGTTGCCGCAATTTTCTGCAGTTACGGGTGTGTCTTCCACCTACACCCTCTATGTGTCGTTTGCCAAGTTCAAATTGCCGATGCTAGGAATGTGTTCATGTCACAGTTCCCATCACTCAGCTAACTTTGCATAAACGTACGCTCCATGGAGGCTCAAATTGCAGTCAATGATATCTGATAATGAGCAGTTGTTGTAAATTGCTTGTTTTTCCCCCTGTATGTGCAGTACAGTAGTCCCATTGATGTAACTTATCACTTATTATCAGTGTGGGAAATAAATTGAGATTTACAACTAGAATAATAAAACAATAAAACTTGTACTGCACGTATAACCTTTGAACACAGCTCCCAGGAGCATTTTAAATCAGCTATCATTTCAAATGTTTATTGCTCATGGTTTAAGAAACAATCAAATTAATTCACTTTCGATGTTTACATGCATTGAACTAATTTTGGTGTCTGCTTTTAATCAATGATAGCGCTGAAGCTGATATTTTTTTCTTAAACTAATGCAGTATTTTGGTTACCTCAATTAGTCAAATCAGAGAGTGAAAATGTTTCGGAACAACGACAGTTATGAGTTTATACACAACTGGAAACTACACGCGTTACCTCTCTGACCCTGTCAAACTTATAAAGACAGAATCTTTGATTGGGTGGACTTCTATTTTCACGGATTAAAGGAATTTTATTGTCATACCAACACTCAATTCCACATGATATTGCATGAAAATATGAAATTAGTCCCAAGATAGCCCTGTGAGTCCCAAGGCTTGTGAAAATAGATAACAAAATAGGATAAAATAAATGCTACAAAAAGATAAGGGACATGCTTATGCATGGTTTGAATGTCTTACAAAGATGCAAATGTAGGAAGGTGTGGTGGATGCAAAAGAAATAAACATGCAAACGGCTTGACTTGCACATGCGTTTAACAAGATCTTTGACTTGGAAAAAATAAGAATAAAGACTTCAAAGTGCAGGGAGGAATATCACTGCATATGACCGGAAACAAGTTCGTCAAAACTACATACTATGTACATACAGTCGTTGTTTTGGCATGACACTACCAACTAAGATACAAATGGCCAAATCTAACCTGCTTGACATCATGATAATTCACAAGAAACGTGATCCAATATGCACTATACTTTTCTGTAGCGGCTACGATTCTTTAGTCACAAAGAAAGTACTGTACAATAACCAGTCAAGGAAAAGCACCCAAGGGAGAGTCGAAGAGGAGTTTGAGTTCACAGTTTATTGCTTCTTGCACTTGCATTTAAGCTAATGGTTGACATGTACTGTTTGTGTTCTCAGCTTCATTTGGTCCACTGGAACTCAGATAAGTACAGTCTGTTTGAGGAGGCAGTGATGGAGGACAATGGCCTGGCGGTTATTGGAGTCTTTCTCAAGGTAACACGCACACACACACACACACACACACACACACACACACACACACACACACACACACACACACACACACACACACACACACACACACACACACGCCGCACGCACAGTTACAGAATGTTCAGAGAACACATTCAGCTTCTAGTTTGCATAAACTGTATTTGTGGCGGGACAATGGTTTAGTTGCTAGCACATCCGACTCACTGTTCTGGGGTAACAGTGTTTGCATTTTCTTTCCCTTGCATATTTGGGTTTTCCCGGGGTGCCCCGACTTCATCCAACATTCTGAAATGCATGTTAAACGGGGAAGTCACCCTAAAACAATTCTTGACAAGAATATGTTCTATGCAGCCCTACTAGTTGAAACATGCCATTCTGATTAAGAAAGTGTTTGTGGAATATGAGTTAAGCAGTGAAATCCACCCATTTCTGTCCATCTCAGGGGGCCATTTTGCTCTCTGATCGGCTGGTGACCAGTCCAGGGTGCATCGTGGCTCTCACTCTAAATAAAGTGGAATAGGCTCCATTTTATGATGACATGGCGTGTAGCAAATTGATGAATGATTATGTCCTTGAGAGATCATCTGAACAAAAATAACATTTTGTATCCATTAGTTGTGTTTGCCGGTGTTTATGCTCATACCATTTCACATTATATGTATAATTTGACATAGAAATAAAAACTTACTTACTTCCTGTTTAGATTTCAAAGGTAGGGCGTTTGGCTGCAAGCTACTTGGGTCTTAAGCAAACTCTGGCTGTCAAATTCTCCCTCCACCAATTTATTATCTCGAATTACACAACATGGTTAAAGAGTTAGCTCCAAAATTTGAATCATTGCAAATGATCCCATGATGTGTCATGCACATCCTTAATCCAAACAACTCCACGCTCGTGTAGGTGGGGAAGAGACACGATGGCCTGCAGAAACTGGTCGATGCTCTCCCTGCAATCAGACACAAGGTAAATCCACTATGACACACACGCATGTGCGCGCAATGCAGTTTTGCTAAACGAATAACTCTCCGATAATATCAGTCCGAACTTACAAGAGCTATCCTTGTTCAAGCCGCATTTCTCATACACCTCTTACAATGGTGCCATGAGATTATGCAGGTCTACCTAATGAAGTGGCTTTGTCAACGTATTTGTCGATCACATAGATGGTTGTATCATTTCCAGGAGAGTGACCTGCTCTCATCCCTTCTGCTTACTACGAAGTGACGCATGTAGTCGAAAGTCAGTTGATAATGCATTTAAAATTGCAATAGTGTAACGCTTATTATAGTCATATCATTGAGTTGTGATCGTATACTCTAGATCACAGGTGTCTAACTCAAGCGTCATTTTATGTGGCCCTCCAAAGCAAATGATGTGCATCGACTTCATGTTTCCTGCCAAAATACCAAAATTGCACATTGTATTCGCTTTAAAGAATGTTGAGATGCTTGTCACTATGTAACAATATATTTTTTTAACATACTAACACTGAATTACAATTACTATTTGTATTTTAAAGTAGCCTGCATTGTGTGCTGCGTGACATGTCTGCAGGGAAGTGTGGTCGAGTTTACGAAATTTGATGCTGGCTGCCTGTTGCCAAACAACACTGAGGATTACTGGACGTACCACGGCTCTCTTACAACGCCTCCTCTGACAGAGTCTGTCACCTGGATCGTCATGAAGCAGGCCATAGAAGTTAGCCATGATCAGGTATAGGCAGTAGCGTCATCCTTCCGCTCCGATCACTCTCATATATCTTCTTTTCCCCATTGTTTCTGCATGGAACAAAAGAGATTTTCCTTTTGAGCGGCAAAGGAAAGCACACTCAAAGACATGACATTTATGTTTAATAACGTACAAGATATCAGCGTCTTTAAACATGCAAAGGTATACAGTTTTTTTTTTTAATGTGTGAAAGCCCACACATACACGTGTCAAGGAAAACGTGTGCTTACTGCACTAGATGTGTGCTGTTTTTGAGATTACCAACACAGCAGACCACACACATAAAATCTCCACTGACAATGGCAATGCCCCTCACCCCCCCAAACCAGATGTCTGTCGTAGTACCAAGACTGGCCTGTGAGAGGCAGCACAGCGCCACAAGGCATCGGGCCTCCAGAAAATTCAGTGAGGATGAAAGAGCACAATTCCTGGCAGTAGCAGAAGTAATGGAAGAAGCTAAGCTGACTTTTGCAGTAACTTCATTGTAGTAGCATCAGACTTGGGAGAAACACACCCAACACAACCAAGTGGTCCTCTATTGTAACCGGTAACAGCGCCAGCTTCTGGTCGCTTCCTAATTGGCTTTCGTTCCATGCCGCGTCACAATCACGGTGTCTCTAGAACACAGCCCAGATATAATTTGAGTTTTGCTCTTGTTCTATGTTGTTGGGACTCAAATATGTTGGTCGGCATTCTCATTCCATTACTGCCCTCATTGGTTGTAAAATCAAGGTCTTCCAGTGCTGACATGAGGGTCCGTCGGCGCACCTCTTGTTTTGTCTTCTGTTGTATGGCCCGTCATGCAGTGGATGATGATGATGTTGAAGAGAAATTCTGACATTGCACATCTTTGTCAGACTCCTCTGTTTACTCAGGACAGCCTACCCAGCCTTTGAAATGCACAGAAGGTCTTGATGATGTCCGCCATATGTTGCGGGATTCCATGCATCCTTAAAATGGTCCAGAGTTCATCACAATGTATGCTATCAATGGCCTCTCCATAGTCCAACAAATTTCGGCTTGCCTCTGCCATTCTGTGCATTGTTCTATGATGTGTAGTGCAAATAGCTGGTCAATGCATCTGTCCCCTGATGGAATCCCGCCTCTTCATTCCTGAGCTTTTCATCTACTGCCGCTGTAAGATGTAGCACAATTATTTTTTTGCTAGGAGTTTGCTTGGTATCATCATGAGGTTGACTTTACGCCAGTTGTTCCGATCTTTCAAGTTGTCCTTCTTTGGTAAGGTTTGAATAGTGGTTGCCAAGTTCAGTGGGAAGGTCTGGACCTGCCTTGAAAAGCTCGTCGTTTTCGACATGCTGGACATGTGCTTCCATTGTGCTCGGCAGCCTGTTCGCAGCCTGAAGTGCTATGCCCATCGAGCTTCTTGTTGTGACATCAAGAGCTGTCACTTTCTGTTTACTATTGGTGTCTCGGTTGTTCATGTTTTCTACTTCTGATTTCTGTGAACGTAGACATTTTCTGAGTAGTTCGAGGGGGAGGGAGGGAGGGAGGGAGGGAGGGGGAACCATTTTTTTTTTGTTTCCATGTTGTAAGGCTCTACATGACACTTCATATTTCCAGTGTTGCTTTAAGTTCAGAAGGCTCAAGATTGTTATGCCCCTCTGACTTAAATCACTGTATCACAAGATCACCGATTGACCTTAACATATATTAAATAATGTGCATCTAATGTGTATGTATACGTGAAGGAATACTACAGTCCATTTTCTTTGCTGCTCGTCCTTTTTAGGGCTGCAGGTGAGCTGGAACCTATACCCTGAATTTGGGCAAGAAGCAGGGGGGGTAGCTCCTCATCTGGTTGCCCACCAATCACAGGGCACAATAAAAAAAAACCCTGCATTTGAAAATCTTTTAAATATGTACGTTCTGTCTTTTGTTCCCTCCAAGCTGGCTGTCTTCCGGAGCCTTCTGTTCACCTCGGCCGAGGAGGAGGTCCAGAAGAGCATGGTGAACAATTTCCGTGTGCAGCAGCCCTTGCGAGGTCGCACTGTGCGCTCATCCTTCAGTCCCTTCCTTAAGGAGTCACCATCTGACCAAGATGACCAGCACACTCACTGATGCCACCAAGTGCTCTACTCTTTATTACTCTGCATCCTGTTACAGTTGGTGCACCAAAACAAGTGTATTTTCTAAAAAAACAAAAAAGTATTTTAAAGTAAAATGTCATTTATATTGTGCCTGTTGGTTTTACAAACTAACTGTAGTTTTACTGATTTCTAGTCACATAAATTATATTTATTTCAAATTGACAATTTGATTTTAGAAGAGGTTCTGTCGATCAGCAGCTGAAGACTCAAGAGCACCGTGTGCTGGCCACAGTGGGTATAACAGAAAATCCCCCTTTTTGCACCACTGATAGGCATTACATCTTATTTTTACTGAGTCTTTTTTTTTTCTTACGCTGTCTGTGACAAGCACCCCCATACAACAAATTTGTCAAGCAACATTAATTAGCCCTTAATTGGATACATTTACACATGCCGGGTGTTTATGTGAATATTTTTTATGCTAAAAAGATAATCTAGTCCAGTGCCTTAAATTATGTTGAGCGGACTTCCACAGTTTATGATGAGAGGGACTCACATTGCCCTTCTACTGTGAGATAATTGAAAAGAAGGAGTCTGAAATGACCTTCTTTCCTTGTTCTCAAGTCTTGTGTTTACGTCTACTGCCACATTCATTGTGATAGTCTCCCCCCACTCAAGGCCTACTCAAGTGTCGTGAAAAGGAAGAATCACCCCCTTCCCTGTGTAGTTACAGTACTTTATTATTCGTTGGTGTCTCTTCACAATTTTGCCAAAGCTGAAGCAGCTTTCATTGACACAAGGTCAGCCGACTCTCAATAATATCCATCAACTATGCCTTGAAGGGTCAATCTTACTATGCAACATTCGGCCAAGAGGGACGCCTTTTGAGACACCATGTAGACAAAAACGCGCAAGGCACATTATAAAATGAAGGTCAGAGGGGACTCGGGATGAGGCGACGGAAGTTTGACAGTGTACAAAACTGTTCTTTGGGTTCTTACCTTATAGAATGAGTCTACTTGACGAGTGTATCTGACTGTGATCGTAAGCGATGGCCACTATTCATCTTCATTTCAGAAGAAGAAAGGCTGAGCACTCACGCTTGTCATTTTAATCCCAATGTAACAATATTACTGCGCATACTGACCCCACTCCTCTCTTGAAGTAGCCTTTTCTCTCATGATCTCAGACACCCGCCCTGAGCCATCTCCCCAGTTGGTCCTTGTTGTTGCCCAAGTGGACTGGATGTGGAATGAAAAGACATAATACACACTTGCAAGTGAAATGAACAGGTTGCGTAGACAACACAAAAACCAAGATGAGCAGGTCATGGCTGGAGGTGGTCCGTTTTGACATCGCTTGCTGGCCATATTTATGGAAAACATTTGGTGTCTATGTTATTGTTGGTGGTTTTCCATCGAATGCAACACAACGCTGCCTTCATCACATGTTTCACAGATGCATTTGACTGCACATTATCCGCCTTCATGTATCATGGCATTTTATGATGTGAAACTTCATTGATTCCTATCAGAATGCTATGAATATGAACATCCATTCATTATCTGAACCGCTTATGCCCACGAGGGTCGCGGGCGTGCTGGAGCCTATCCCAGCTGTCCTCAAGCAGTAGGCGGGGTACAAAATCAGTATCAATTTCATTTAAATAACTGTTGTATAGCTTCCTTTTTTACAATCAGTATTTATTCACTGATGATTTCAATGTACTGGCAATTTTGTCTCTGTGGGCCGACATGTTATGAGTATCTCTGCTTGTGTGTCTCTGACTTTTTTTTAGCACTCTATCAATGAATCTGACATTATGACATGCGTCATTTTTACAAATCAATTGCTGTTATTATGCTTGTTTTCATGGTGCCTTTTATCATCTGCAGCCACTTACAAAGTGTTAGCTTTTCAGTTTGAGGATCATAGATTGTCCGAATTTATGTACGTTGCACACTTTCTATATGCACTACATATTCTGACTGCTTATTTGTTCATGGGGCAGTCAACATTCCTGGAGAGCGGGGACTCATCAAAGTCTGTCCTCTCACAGCATGCCTTTTTGGATAGCTCCTTTGTTGTCCTGCCGTGCGACCGGGAAGAGTTTTGCTCCTCAAGACCCTTGATTTTAAGGGAATGTATGAAAACATGTTGATTGTCCAGATGGAGATGGGCGGAAACTGACATTCATTCATGTCATAGCAATACAATGGTGTTTAATGCAATAATAACTGTGTCTGTGATTTTTTTTGTGTGTGTGTGTGTGTGTGTGTGTGCGTGCGTGCGTGTGTGTGTGTGTGTGTGTGAGTGTGTGTACTCTGATTGCAAACCAGTGCAGTGGTTTTAATTGTACAGTACATGATAGTGAGCAATGTAGACACACGGGCAACATTATGAGTACCCTTGCTAAAGAAAAGAAAAACCACAATAGCCATTGAAATAACATGAAACTGATAAAAGTAATAAAAGAACATTTACTGAAAATGAGCTCATGAAAAACTGTGCAGATGGTATGTTGAAACTCCTTCCACAATTATACAACGGGATGAAGATCGGGGCTCAGATTAAGCCAATGTTCTGTACTTCGTCATTCTTAGGTGTTTTTCCACTGTGTGTTTTATGTCATGATGACCCACGGCCTTCAGCTGAAGCCAAACCTCCTCACACTGAGATGCATATTATCTCCAGATTGCAATGATATTCTTGCAATTTCATTACATCCCACTCAAATTCAGGACACCTTGGGCCGGATGCAGCAAAGAAAATCCTGAACATAACTGAGTCCCCACCATAAGATAAGATAAGAAAACCTTTATTAGTCTCGCAATGGAGAAATCATGCATGTCTAAAAGTATTCTGATGTGCATTTTTAGGAAAAACAAAATATAGTTGACCTACATTTTATTTTTACAACCTGAGAAAAAGTTCCAGTACAGAAATCTTCAATGTTTAATGCATAATTGATCAGTATATTGGTTCAGTATTGTTTAAATGCTGTAAAATCAGCATGTATTGTATTGTATTGTATTGAACCAATATACTGATCACTTATGCATAAAACAGTTTTATATGATCAATACCAGTTGAAATCATACATTGTTGTAAATAAATTACCGGTATATAGAATTTCAGAATGACACAGCTCCAAGGAACAATGGAATTTTACAGCTGTTTCAAAAACAAAATATGCTGTGGAAATAAAACATAATGTTCAAACCTTTATACACAACAGGAGGAAGTGTTGTCGGTAATAATGGCAACAAGGGTATTTGTAACACTAAGAGATTTTCGGCCATGTTAATTCAGGCTCTGGACAGGTCACTGTGGTGGTCATCTTCTTCTTTCTGTATACAAGCATATGTCAAGACGTGGGAACTATCCCTTTAACTCTTTTATACGTTCTTGCAAGTGGGCTGTCCGTGTTTTGGTGCCTTTTATTTCAACTCAGCATTCCCTCTGCAGGTGTCCAGAAAGAATCCTCAAAATAAGAAATAAATGATCTATAGCTCTCCTTCAACTCAATGAACGTTCTCAAATGACTGCTTGACTTTATTTGCAGTTTGGCACCAACAGGCACTGTATGCCAATATCAAACACTATAATGAACACAAGATCAGGACAAAATACAGCAAAGCATCGACCTGTCTGTGAATGAGCACAAAGAAAAAAACTTATCTGCCACTGACGCTAATCCAAGACTTCAGCTCTGTTTTCTTTCCATTGAGGTTGGAGCATATCCAAATAAATGATGAACACAACACAATGTAGGCTATATGAAAGCATAGAACATCGGTCTGTCATTGACATTATCTTGGGATTCTGGGTTTTCCTGCTTTGTGTCCAAAAAACTCTCTCCAGAGAGAGTGTTCATCCTTGAGACCCCTGGACTCCACAACCATATTTTACACAATCTTTACCTGCTACCTCTTGGGAATTTGTACATCCATATAGTTTCGGGATGAATTTAGTTAATTAAATACATTAACTTCAGAAAAAAACAAATAAACCATGGAGCTACCCAAAATTAGTTTTTTTCTTTTTTAAATTCAATGTAAAGCAGACAAAACACCAACACTGTACGTTTTACAAATGGACCTAATGTATATAAAAAACCCATTGTTCTCCAGATGACTAACCAAAGCAAAGGCCTCCTTGAGACCCTAACAAAGCAGGAACAAATTTGAAAATAAAAAATATTGGTCAATGCCTTTTGGAGAAAACTATCCCCCCACATCCCCACGGAAATCTTTGAAGCCCTTTGACACAAGAGAGGGATGTTTAGTGGCCCCCACCCAGACACCTGGGGTCCAAAGGGTGGGTTGTTTATGGACTCTTTTACACTGTTACCACAGCTGGGTGTGATACCGCTCGCCATTGGATTCAAACTAGAGAAGTGGCCGTTGAAGTTGACCTTGCAGGGTGTTTGTTGTGTTTAGCCGTGGGGTAGAAACCTCGTGGTCTACCGTGACACAGCTCTCAGTCTCCTCTGGATTTCCCTCAATTGTATGAATTTGAGATCTGTGTGTGTGTGTGTGTGTGTGTGTGTGTGTGTGTGTGTGTGTGTGTGTGTGTGTTGATGATTGCAGTATACCCATGTGACAACTCAATTGTGGTAAATCAATTTATGATTTTAAAGGACACAACTTGTCTTTGTCTTAGGAAAAAAAAAAATCTGATTAAAACATTTCCCATGTGCGTTAAGCAGCACCACTTGTTACGCTGTGGACGAACTGAATGGTGATGGGATCCCACAAATGTACACACAAATAAAATCCGGAACAAAAATATTGAAGGAAAAACATAGGTCCGACAAATTCCAAACAGAAATTGCTGGTGTCAAAAATCCAGGAAAATGAAACATGAATGGAAAGGGCTTGCAAATGGCAGGGTAACAGCAAAACCCGAAAATACACAAGACGACATAGCAAGAGTCCAATCACGCGTAACCAAAATCAGCAAAAATCTCTAAAACAAAAACACTTATGAAACCGGAATCTAAATGGACAAGAGCGACTAGGAACGTGAGCAAGAAGGTCTGGAAATATCACTTGAGGCAGTACAGCCACCAAGGTCAATAATCCGACAGAGAGGAGGCAATTTAGCAGCCCTTGAATGCAGGGCAAGGCTTTGAGTGGGAACAAGGAACAGGTGCACCTGCTGGGGGGAAACGCCCTTCACTCCAGATGGAGCTGGAACAAAACAAACAGAGGACATGACAGAAATCATCTGGTTTTGGCATGGCGACCCGAGCTCAATCCTTTGTTACTGCACTATGCCACTTTTCTGCATCATTTAAGAACCGGTTTGTCACCGAACTCCTAAAGACAATATGTGCTGTAGAAAATGAATGGATGGATGTTTTGGACATCTACTGGTATGCGAGGTTAAATTCAAGGTGAAGTTGTGCAGTAGCACTTGCATGTCCTCTTGTCAGTCGTTAGGAACCAAGCCCCTATTACTGAGATGCGTAAACAGGAACTTTTCCCTGTGGTCAGGAGGCCAACCGCTTTTCGCTTTCTCGTCATCTTCCTACAGCTTCACTGCTCCTCGGACTGCCTGGGGTGTTTGTTTTCAACGCGCAGACACAACACAGCTTTGCTGAGATGCATTTGTGCGTTCATCTCATGTTACTGTCTTAAGATGAGCTGTGTTATATTAGGTCCCCTGGGATAAATGGCAACGGCCTTTACGATCATCCATCACAGAAACATTCAGCTTTCATAAATAAATAAGCAACACTATTGAGTGTTGATTTAGAAAAATGGACATCGGTTGTGGATACCCACTAGATATTTTTAATGGGTCAGACCATACAGAATTGTTTGGGATACAGGTTGCAGGCACATATGCAAATACAAATCCCACACCCACACCACAGTGTCACTTGGGTGACTTCATGAGTTTGGGTGAACATTTTCCCATCAGAGCAGATGCCTGTGGGCACATTGTTAGATTTATTCAGAAGCCCAAAGGTCGTTGCCACATGAAAAAAAGATCATTGTTGAAATCACATGAGACAATGGGGTAATCACACACCAGTGTCTCACAGTTGGTGGGAACATTTTCGACAAGTGCTCTTGTTTCTGCTGAGTTGCACAGATAAAAACTTGAAGGGAAGTTTCCCACAGGAGTCAGTCTCATTATTGTCCTGTGTTAGAATAATATCTGTCCATTTTCTAATCCGTTTATCCTCATAAGGGTCGTGGGGCTTGCTGGAGCCAATCCCAGCTGTCTCCGGGCAGTAGGCGTTGGACACCCTGAACCGGTTGCCAGCCAATCGCAGGGCATACAGAGCTGAACAATCATCCACGCTTACACTCACACCTAGGGACAATTTAGAGGGCTCCATTAACCTGCCACGCATGTTTTTGGAATGTGGGAGGAAACCGGAGTACCCGGAGAAAACCCACGCAGGAATGGGGAGAACATGCAAACTCCACACAGGAAGGCCCGAGCCGGAATCGAACCCTGCACCTCTGCACTGTGAGGCCGATGTGCTAACCAGTCATCCACCGGGCCATCCTGTTAGAATACCTCAAAGTAAAAAAGGCCACTGTCAACATGCAATGTCATGTGACAGATCCAAATGCATTATTATTACACCTACTACAGTCGAACCTGGTTACAATGAACCATGTGGGACACAACAAAGGTAGTTCGTTGTAAGCATTTCTGATGAAATGGCAGCCAACTACGATGTATAATCCAGTATGAACGTTTATAGATGTAAAAACATGAACATGGAATACAATATAAACATGTCAATTACAAATACGTACATACAGCATGAAGAAAAAAAGATTTTACTAAACATGAAACAAACAATGGTAATGTTCCTACTTGATCTCTGAAAACATTCAGTCAGCGAATGAAAATGCCTCATCTCCAGTTCAGGACATGCTGCGTCCCGAAGCCGTTTACGATCATCTTTCAATCTCTTGGCCTCGAACTCTGCAATGATTTTGTTGCCATTACGGATGATTGTCAAAATTGTCGACTTTGCCAATTCATAGATTCGGCCGTGCTTCAACTGGGAGACTCCCCTTTGAAAGTGAGAGACAATTTCAGCCTTTGCAGACAGCGAGATTTGTTTCCATTTACCAGACATTATTTCAGACCATGTGCGCCGTGGCCCCAGAAGTACTACAATGTACGAGTCGAGTCGATCAGTCGTGTTGCTAAGCAACGGAGGGGAATCCCACGCCAAACATTTTGTTCATAAGCAATGTCATGTTCATCAGCAAACTCCATAAGTTTGCATGTTCTCCCCACGCATGCGGATACTCCGACTTCCTCCTCCATTGCAAAATCAGGCATGTTAGGTTAAGAAATTGTCCAGCGTCCATCGGTGTGAATGTGAGTGTGAAGTGTTCTTAGTCTGTAAGTGGCCAGCAATAGCCTGCCCACCAGTACAGGATGAACCCCGCCTAGAAAGTGGATGGATGGATGATTTGGGTCTTTTTCAGACCAAAGGTGAAACTTCTCTTCATCTTCACCACTACAAATGAAAAAGTCTCACGCAAAGTTTTGTGCCATAAATCATCTGGTGAAAAATTAACAAGTTTTATTTCCCGACCCCAGAGTCGCACCATACATATCTTGGTCTGCTGGGGATGTACTTGGTAGCTTATGTGCCAAAAATTGTAGCTTAAAAAAATTAAAATAAAATAAAATCGGAACAAAAACTATGAACATATTTTCGCTCATCAATTTTCTGTCCCCAGGTGAATAATGAGACAAGTGCTAGCTTATGATGTAAAATGCAGAAAATTATTTATCCATCCATTTTTTTACCAAATATGGTATAGGTTGTGGCTGACTTTTGACCAAAGTGTGTGGAAAACCCTGGATTGGTCGCCAGTCAATCACAGAAAACATCTTGAAAGACAATCATTCAGGTCCATCTTCACGCCTACAGCCAATTTAGAGTGAGTTTCAACTTTGATATTTTCGGAACGTGTGAGGTAACCCAAGTACCCGTATGTGAAAATGCAAAGTCCACACACAGAAATGCCAGAGCCAAGATTTGATCCCAGACCCTTATGACTGTGAAGGAGATGCAATAACCACATGCAATTTTGAGCAGCCACAAAAATAGGATATCAAAAAAAAAAATCCTGGTCAACTGTAGTGAGTCAGCATACTGTAAATGAACACCCTTCCCCTCTCGAGGGATTAAAATGAGTGCATGAAATGTAATGAATGAATGAATCATGGTGTATTTCTGTCTCCTGGGTGGAGGCTTCACTTGATATGATAGTCCTACATTCTTCAGGCTTTGTGCAACCAGACATGCAGAGCCCCCTCCGACAAATAAATATGTGTCTGTCATATGCGAGCACAGGACAAAACCCACCCATAGCTACCTGTGTAGCACCCGATGAGTACATGACGAGTGAGTGCAATGACTGTGTGTCAATTTCACTGAGCAGGAAGCGTGCGGAAGAGTAGCTGTTGACTTGTCAGCGTGAACTGCGGTGGGGCTTATCAACTGCACGTTTCGGTGAGTAGCCCTGACTACTGGCATACAAAGATGGCATGAGCAGCAGCTGCAGCACGCACTCAGCCTCTGGTTACATTTTGCGGCTCCTGAACATTTTCCCAGTCGTGTTTCCATGTGACGACGATCAATGAAGCACAACTCCCTTTCTCAAACGCACAGGCTGCCGAGTGAGTGCGCAGTACTGTTACTGCTCCTTACCCTGAGGCCTGCCACGGGGTCGTTCCAAATAGAATCTGAGCCATTCTTAAATGAATGCAAACATAGTTTGCATGTGCACACTCATTCAATTTCTTATTTGATCATATTATTAACTCCCTGAGATTTAGTTTGAAAGAAATAACAGCCCTTTCCAAACGTGTTCTTCAACTACATGTCATCTATACATGATCTGATCTAAACTGAACATAAACGTCATCTGAAGAGAGACACTTCAAATACCAGAGCTACTGTACAATGATAACACATTACTGTTGATGTATTCTAACTCAAACAAATTTACTGTCGAGTCGAGTCCAAACAACACATGTTCTCCTGTTCATGTGGAGGGAGGGGGGTGGGGCAACGGGGCGGGGGCCTCAGTGCCATCGACTTCCATGCATTTACCCTGTGATTACACAACCACAAAACCAGTCTGGCCGGTTCGCAGCTTTTTACTTAAAGAAACTGGTTGGATTTCATGTTGCAAAAGCACCAAACCTGAACACAACTATACCCTGTCAGGTATTTGTGTGGGTGCACACGATCTGTCCTTGCGGTGCAGACGGCCCGTTAAAAAGAAAGTCGATATCCACTTGTGAGAATGATGTATGGGTAATCCTCTCCAGGGTTTAACAGATTGGTTTGGATAGCTTTTATTTGGACAATTTCGTCACGCACTCTTAATGAAACTCAAAGCTCACGAACCAGATGGTATGTGATGTCATTTTATGTCGCCTGTGAAAGCTTCCACAGCCAGTCATTTTCTCTAGTGGGTGAGCTGGAGCCTGTCCCAACTGAGGGATCAAGAGGCGGGGTACATCCTGAACTAGTCACCAGCCAATTGCAGAGCAATAGCTCGCCATATGTTTAAAAGGAGAAAAAAAATGCACTGTGCTCATGTACACTCCAGCAACATTTAAATAGCCTGTTCTGGGCTCTTCAGACTGAGTCAAAGCAACAACAAATTAATCTCAGATGACAGCAGCGTAACCATTAGAGTCAAAAATCCGCAAGACGGGGAGACTTCAAACATTTGTAAACTAGTTTTATCCCTCCCACATGTTTTAAACACAATTAAACTTCTCAAAAGACACTTAAACTAATTAAAACACGCCTTTGAAATGATTCTTTTAACGCCCATTCTCACTTTCTCTCTATGGAACAAAAGAGTATGAAACATTGAATATTTAAAGTCCAAAATGTCCATATTTATCCAAAATGTTTGTCCAAGTCCGCCATCTTAATGCCAATATCCATCCACCCATCCATTTTCTGATCTGGTTATCCTCACCAGGGTCGCGGGCATGCTGGAGCCTATGCCAACTGTCTTCGGGCAGTTAGGCGGGGGACACCCTGAACTGGTTGCCAGCCAATTGCCTGCCAGACATAGACGAACAATTATCCATGCTCACACCTAGGGACAATTTTAGAGCGTTCAATCAACCTACCATGCATGATTTTGGAATATGGGAGGAAACCGGAGTACCCGGAGAAAACCCACGCAGGCACCGGGAGAACATGCTAACTCCACACAGAAAGGCCGGAGCCGGAATCGAACCCTGCACCTCTGCACTGTGAGGCTGACGTGCTAACCAGTCGACTGCCAGGCTGCCTTTAATGCCAATACATAATTCTGAATTCCAAAGATGGGATAACATAAATTAGCAGCTGTTATGGTGATTATGAACCTTCAAACAATTGCTACTTTAACGCACACGGGTAGCAACATATACAGAGTGTACACTGTACAACAACAAATATCCAGAACTTCACTGTATACAATCCTGCAAAAAGCCTTAAAAAACAACAACAATCCATGATATAGTGGGGGTACAAATGACGGACCTTTGGGGGAAGATTGTATTCTTATTTTTACTGTGTATTTTACGCAATTCAAACTGTTTCTGTTGCACTTGATTGCATCCTTCGTTTCCCAAAAAATTGACATTGCACTACCATAACAAGAAAATATCTGTGCCATTAAAGTTCCGTTTTAAGTGCCATCAAAGCTGTGCCTGTTTACACAAATTTGAAACAGGTTGTTGCGCATTTTGTTCATTTTGTTGCAGTGACTCCAATCCACTCTGCGCCTCAAAATTGTGAAATTATCAAATTGCAATACGGAAAAATCATGTTCCTTGTTAAACTATTTACGCCAGCAACGTTTGGAACAGGCATAAGAATAAATTGTTCTTCCAATCGATAGCAGGAGGTGCATAATCAACCTGTGCATGTGCTGTTTGTGAGTGTTTTGTTTGGTGGCGTTGCCGTAAAAAAATGTACAGCTATAATGCAACACGTGGTGTTGCATTATCAAACTGGGCGACTGTGAACCAACATAGTGACAACTTCCGCCTCTAGAGGGAGATGACGGACAAACGTAGATTGGGGCTGGATCGGGGAGGCCAGTCAGAGGCAGGCGAGCTCAACATGGGGCTAGCCTCGAAGGAGGGACTCGTTCTCAGCTCACTTGACAGACTGCCTGTCGTAGAAGACACGCTGCCCTGACTCACGCCGACCACACTCAGCGGAAGTCTCGTGCGTGGTTGATCCTGGCCGGCATCAGGCATTGAACGGGTCCGCGAGGAACAAGAGAGGAGGACAGCCGATAACGTGTGTAGCTTTGTGTCCCCATATATTGCAGGCATAATTAAAAGGGACCCTACACGAAACCATGTCGGGGGTAAAAAAAAGAAACTCGAATTCCTCGTTAAGCAAGGAGGAGGACCCGCAAGTCACGGAGAAGATGCTGGGGAGCCCCGAAAACACCGCCGTCGGGGATGACAAAGGCGAGGAAACTGTCGCCTTACAGCGAACCATCACGCTGATGAACGGCGTGGCCATCATCGTGGGCACCATCATCGGCTCGGGCATCTTCGTCACGCCGACCGGCGTGGTGAAGGAGTGCGGCTCCGTGGGCTTGTCCCTGGTGGTGTGGACTGTATGCGGGGTCTTCTCCACGGTGGGGGCTCTGTGTTACGCCGAGCTGGGGACCACCATCTCCAAGTCCGGAGGGGACTATGCCTACATCCTTGAGGTCTACGGCTCCCTGCCGGCTTTCCTCAAACTCTGGATCGAGCTGCTCATCATCCGGCCGTCTTCGCAGTACATCGTCGCCTACGTTTTCGCCAAGTACCTCCTCAAGCCCATCTTCCCCGTGTGCCCGGTACCGGAGGACGGGGCTAAGCTAGTGGCTTGCCTTTGCATTCGTGAGTACTGTATCCGAGAGTATTGAAACATGGATGATGCAACGTCTCGTGGAAGTTAGAAGTTGAGAGCGCGCCGCTCGCACTGCATATTTTTTTTTCTGACAAATCCATCCTGTGGGTAGAGAGAGCCGGGTGACCTTCATCGAGCAGCTTAACCGATTTTATTTGCTGAGCGACATAAAAGCGCGTCGAACTAGGAAACAAGTCGCACAAAATATTTCGTCATTCACGTAAAGCACACTAAATGGCAGCTACCGGGAAATGTAATATTTCATTAATTTATTGGAGCAATACTCAGATTTTTGTCTTCTTTTTCAAATGGCAGACAAAGTCGTGAAAATGTGTAGACATAAAATATTCTCTCTTCAGCAATAACAGACGAAACTTGAGTGTCAATACACTAATTCAGAGTTATAAGAGTACAGTAATTACAACTACCAATACCATTCATAATAATAATAATAATAATATAATAATAATATGTTTAGATTTAATAATGGGTGTTCCTTGCATGTTGTTATTTGTTTTCTATAGATCCAATTATATGTATAATTAGGGCTACGCTATATTGGCAAAAAATGCAATATGTGATATGGGTGTGAGAGAGAGAGAGAGAGAGAGAGAGAGAGAGCAGCAATATAAATATATTATAATAGCCCTTCTGAGGATAAAGCGATTCATATAATGGGAGGATATACTGTATCCATATCGATCAATCTATCTTTATCTATCTATCTATCTATCTATCTATCTATCTATTTATCTATCTATCTAGATATATCGATATGTGTATACAGTATAATTGCGCTATTTAACATGTACATATGGAAATGGCATCTATTATCTATTTTTTTGTGCAAAAAGAAACAGGCACAATGTATTCTTATCTAATTAAGTAATTTGGTGTTCGTGATGCCAATCAATACCGTGTCTTATTGAGTGGCAATAAACATTTAAGATTGCATTTGATTGGTTAAGGTCAGGTAAAAGGTAAAAAGACACAAGGAATTCTAATTCCATATTAATTTATATTGTATATAATAATTACATATTGTGCAGCCCTTAAAAATACTCTATTCTTAAACTGTCTTTGTTCTTGTTGTTATTTGTTATGTATCGAGTTTATTCAGTGTGAATTTTTAGCCTTCCGTGTTGTACGGTAAATGGTTGATGAAAAAGGATTGGACTCAAATAATTTCCAAATTACACCTCTTGTGGGCCCACATACGAACATGAGCAACTAATGCATTAGCGTGTGTGTTAACAACCAGTAAGTAGCACCTTAACGTATAATCTTCATATGGTTTGAGGGCTAATCCTGCGTGAAACCATATGACAGCTAGATAGAGGTACTGTTTTCTTTTTCTAACCTGTGTGGCTTAATTCATTGTGAATATGCATGCATGTACAGTTGGTGCGCACATCCTGTGATACACGTTCATCCCAAAATCGAATCATCAGCTTGTTTAGATATGTACTGTGTCAGTTGTATGTATGCTTGGATAAGTTTGCTTTATATTATGCATGTTTCCTCTCCACTCGACTGTCGAGAGTCGACTGTCCTTCTTATAAACAAAGAGCCTCATTGTGCCCAGTCTCATCTTTGTGTTGTGGCTCCGGCCTGATTTAGGAACTGTGAAGGGACCTGCTGCTTTGGTAGGCATGGTAATTCACTTGTCATGGCATGCAGCGCCATAGAGTGGTAGATGAGGCATGCCAGCATTGTACATGTTTGGGGAGGAGAACAAGTCTTACGGTGTGAAGTGTTTAGCTGCCAGAAATGGAGTTCATGTTCACTGTTGACAGCAAAGAGCACTTACGTAAAGGTGCTTTCTCTCACTGACCAACTCTTTTCTCTTTTCTGGCTTGGCAGTCTTATTGACCTTTGTGAACTGCTACAGCGTGAAGGCAGCAACCAGAGTGCAGGACTTCTTCGCTGCGTCCAAGCTACTGGCTCTTGGCCTGATCATCATCATCGGCTTTGTCAAGATTGGTCAAGGTACCCCAACATTTATACACCAGTCTACAAGTGTTTTTTTTTTTTTTTTTTAATGCACCACTAATGTTAATGTAAACTGGAGCCTATCCCTGCTGACTTTTTGCTAGACACATGCGACCTGAATTGGCCAGTAGCCAATCCCAGGGTACTGTGCTGAAGAAAAATATGCAAACAAACATCCACACACACACTTAATTTTACAATTAACCATGTTCAATTACAATAATATTTGGCTGTCCAATGAAAACCAGATAGGGGCAGCTCGGTGGTCCAGTGGTTAGCGCGTCAACCTCATAGTGCAGAGGTACCTGGTTCAATTCCAGCTCCGGCCTCCCTGTGTAGAGTTTGCATGTTCTCCCCGGGCCTGCGTGGGTTGTCTCCAGGTACTCCAGTTTCCTCACACATTCCAAAAACATGCATGGCAAGCTGATTGAACACTATAAATTGACCTTAGGTGTGAGTGTGAGCATGGATGGTTGTTTTTCTCTGTGTGTCCTCCAATTGGCTGGCAACCGATTCAGGGTGTCCCCCACCTACTGCCCGAAGACAGCTGGGATAGGCTACAACACCCCCGCGACCCTTGTGAGGATAAGCGGATCGGGAAATGGATGGATGGATGGATGAAAACCAGATACATCAGTCACCAAAAGTGAGGGAGGGAAATGGATGGATGGATGGATGAAAACCAGATACCACTCACCAAAAGTTATGCAGCTCAAATGTTGCTCAAATTTCAGGATGAACCTAATTTTCACTAACATTTAACTTGAACTTAATTTGATTTTTTCTTAACTTTTGAATGCACATGTCCAACTGTTCAGTATTTCAATCTTTTTTTAAGCAATTTGTTGCACAACTTGCTGTTCTCTACCAATTTAAATGCAGCATTCACAGAAGGTGTCTGAGTCATTCAAATTTCCATAAACCTTCACTTCTATACCTTTCTGTCACTCTCCCAGTCTCTCTGTATCTTTGTTGTAACTTCTTGGTGACACTGGGACACTCTAAGCTCAGAGGCTAGTTCCCTCTTAGTACATCTTGTTTTTAGCCTCGCAATGTTGAGGTGCTGGTCAACGGTTGTTAAGTGTTCTATTGGTCAAAATGTGAACAGCACAATGAAGAGCAATGTTCAAAACAAATTCTGTTTAAACCAGGACTCGGACATTAATCCATTCATGAACCGTCCTCCACAAATGTAGGTTTCACATGCCATTGAAATTTTCAGCGGGAATTTTTCCTGTTATAGTATACCACTGTTTAGGTCAGGGAGGCACGGTGAACGTCCTGTTAGCATGTTGGCCTCACAGTGCAGTGGCAGGATAATGGAACACTCTAAATTGTCCTTAGGTGTGAGTGTGAGTGCGAATGGTTATTCGTCTATGTGTGCCCAGCGATTGACTGGCAACCAGTTTGGGGTGTACCTCGCCTGCTGCCTTAAAACACTTGGAATAGGCTTCAGCACGCCCGCGACCCTTTTGAGTACAAGCAGATTAGAAAATGGATAGGTTACCCATTATGTTGATCGTGTGCCACCAGTTGATCCCAAAGGGAGTGTCGGTCACTATCATGGCATTAAAAAAAAAAAAAAAAAAGGGTAGATCGCCTATCATCCATTGTGAAAATTGCCACTTGATTGATGTCCTGGAAGAATGCTAATCTAAGCCCTATGTTTTGTATACATTACCTCGTCCATGTGAAAAAGGGGAAAAGAATTAATTGCTCACGACCACTATTGTGATTGTCGACATATTTGGTTGTTTAACTCACTCATGCAAATATCATATAGTTTACCCTCTTAGAACCAATGAGTTTCAGATGTGGCCATTAAACAGAAAGTAAACATAGAAAACCTGTAGCACAAGGTTTTCCCAAATCATTTTTCATTCCTCTTAGGCTGCAAGCCAGTTACGGTCTGCAGCATATGATGCACGGCATAAGCATAAGCGAACCAGTTTCATCTTAGTAGTTAGATAAACAAGGTGATTTAAAAATGGTTTACATTAGTTTTAGATCTTAACTGGATATAAACGTGAGGCTATGGATTCTTTTAAAACTACTAATGAAGAACTGGTAACATAACTGCAATTTACTAAAAGGCAACACTGAGTTACAGATGTAAGATGTATGTCATAGAAAACTGCAGAATGATCCTCAAATTCCATCTCAACGATTGTACAATACAACCAAGTAGGTGCTTGTTAACATGCCCTGCTGTATTGGCTGCCAAGACATGTTCTACTTGGCAATAGCCTAAAGGACCAACGACCGCTAATTTCATAAACGGCAGACTGGAGCCTCTCTGCAAACTTATTTTGTGGTGGGAAATGGTATTATAACTTTAAAATCGGAATATTGCAGCTTTACTTGACCTCTCAAGTCTGATTTAAAAAAGGTCTCAGAGAGAAACATTAAAACTGAGGTGCCTAACACAGTGATTCCCAAACAGTGTTCCAGGGCACATTAGTGTGTCATGAGAGCTCTAAAAGGTGTGCCGCGGGAACTTATCAAATTTCACTTAATTGGTGAGAAAATTGGCCTGCGAGTAATTAGCTCGTCAATCTCACAGTGCAGAGGTGCAGGGTTCCACTCCGGCTCCAGCCTCCCTGTGTGGGGTTTGCATGTTCTCCCCGTGCCTGCGTGGGTTTTTTTCGGGTACTCCGGTTTCCTCCCACATTCCAAAAACATGCATGGTAGGTTGATTGAATGCTCTAAATTGTCCCTAGGTGTGAGTGTGAGCACGGATGGTTGTTCATGACTGTGTGCCCTGCGATTGGCTGGCAACCGATTCAGGGTGTCCTCCGCTTACTGCCCGTAGACAGCTGGGATAGGCTCCGGCATGCCCGCGACCCTTGTGAAGATAAAGCGGGTCGGAAGATGAATGAATGAATGAATGAACAAATAATCCTTGTCCATCTATCTATGCCAGCAACCTATAGTGACAGAAAGAACAAATAAATGATCTTCTATTATCTAAAAAAAGTATGAAATTGACATATGTCTCCTCTTTTGGTGGTGTAACGTGCGATTTTTCTAATGCAAAAATGTGCTTTGGCCCAATCGAGGTTGGGAACCACTGGCCTGACGCGGGTATCACTTACCTGTCTGTCTCTTATCTCAGATCTTTCTCTGTTTTTCTTAGCGACCATTCACTGCTGTTTCAAACTCTTCTTCAGACTCTCAGTTTACCTGAAATGGTAACACCAAACTGACGTTTTTACTGCAAACACAATATCAAAGTAATTTAAAACTCATGTTAGTTGACTCCACCCTGTCATTTCTGTCCTGTTAGTGCATCTGGTAAAAAGCATCGGTGTTAAACAATCTGTCTTTCCCTAGTCTGTGTAGTTTTTGCCAAGTTGTCAGTGTAAACATTGACGTGTTGGAACGTACCTAATACTTAATTGATACTGCAAGTGATTGCTTCACACTTAGACTAATGATGGTTCACTCTGTCAAACAACGATTTTTTTTTTTTTTTAATGTATATAGTTTTCATTTTTTGGTGATACTTTTCTGACTAAGCAACAACAACAACAAAAAATCCCATCTCTTTAGTTTAGCAGTGTTTAATCATTTAACATCATTAGCTCACCTCGGAACTTTCAAAAACACTATCATATACCAACTGGCCTGATGTAAAGTTGAAAAGGAGATAAAAGATGCTAATAATCATCATAGTAATACTGTAATCCATTCAATGGCTTAATTTCTACAATGATTCAGAGGGGATTGATGAACGGTGTTATCAAATTTATGAATGAAATCCGATGACATCAACCACACACATCCATAAAGCTCAGAATCCATCTGAGTGTACCTCAATCAAATCCACCAAAATCACATTACACTACCGATGCCACACCTTCGATCGGCTTTTATCTGGTCTAATGTCTAGTCTACTTTCTGTCATCACATTGTCAGGTGTGCCAGCATAATAGAATATGCCCCCGGTCCGCCGGAACACCCAGAAAGGCGTAACCCGGTCTGCCAAATTCCCAAACATTAGAAACTCAACTTACCCCTGCACGAAAATGAAGACGTGTCAGTTTTTATTCCGAGCACATCATGTCACTTGATGTGTCAGGCACATGGCATTGGGTCATGGTGGGATTCGGCCATATATTAATCAAATCATGCACAGCATAGTTATAGACTTATAGACAATATTAGGACATGTTCACGGAGTGGTCTGCACGTTTGCTTACAACTCCGAGGTTCGCTGTTTGAATCTTGGCTGCAGCCTTTCTGTGCGGCCTTATCATGCGGTGGATTTTTCTGGAGCACGCCAATTTCCTCCCGCCTTTCAAAAACATCCATGCTAGCTGAACTAAATCGATGACCCGATAGTAAATTATCCAAAGGTATATGTGAGGGTGAATGGTCATTTGTCTGTATGTGTCTCCTGCGGCGGGCTGCGACTAGTCCAAGGTGTATAGTGGATATCAAAAGTCTACACCCCCCATTCAAATGCCAGGTGTTTGTAATCTAAAGGAATGAGGCCAAGATAAATCTTAAAACGGTTTCCACTGTTATTGCCCCGTAAGAGTTGATTATACGTACAGAAAGCAACAATAAGATACATAGTGTACATGTAAATTGCAAGACCATAACAGAAATGTGTCCAAGTAAATTTGAAAGATCAACAATTGTAGGTCTTAAGGTAACACCTTAATCAGAAAGTGATGCTAAATTTATGAAAAATATGACCAAAAATATATCTTACATTATACGGGCACTTGGTTACATTTTGGGGGTGGGGCTTTTGTAGCATTGTAACTAAGGTCTCATTAGCTATTACCAGTGGACTTTTGAAGTCTACTGTTTAAAAGGACCTTGGAGTCGTTATTGGCTAGAGCCAAAACAGCCCGAAATCCATCAAATGGTGATCAAAATCATCACTAACCAGCAGGCCAAACTTTCTCTGGATTATGAGGTCAGTACTCCAGGGGGTGGGCTCAGGTTTTTTTCTCTCCCAAGGATAACGGAGGCTTGACCCATAACATAGCGGGGCTGAGAAAATCATTCATAAAAACATTTTGGAATACCAAATAAAATGCTGGAGGGGCTTAACTGGGGCCACACCGATTTCTGACGGCGTTATCGCATCCCATAGCCTCGGTGTAGCTCCATCCCTGCGTGGGCTGTGCTAAGTATGGCACTTTGATCATCAGGCGTTTCTCACGTGTGGTATGTACCGTGGGGTTAGGGCTCACCCATGTAATAGCAACATGCCCGGGGGCTGTTGAGTTAGTAACCGACGCTGCGTCTGAGAATGTGTGTGCCTGTTGCGGGGATCAGCTTCGTTAGGAATGTGGCTGGGATGCCCTGAAACCAGCACAAATCAGAATGTCTGCAAGAGAGGCTGTGAGCTCAAGTGATGTACTTAACACCAGTGCTTGAAGTGGGCTGGCACACATTAGTACGAAGGAGCAGCACGTCTCAGTTTTAGCCTGCAGCGCACCGGGCATTCACATGAGCCCCTCGCTTCTTCTACTTCTCTCTTGCGCTTTGTGATCCACGCCTGAAATTTGTGAGGCAGTCTGGTGAGCCAAAGGTGTTAGCAAAATGTTGTGGGACACATGTTCCATGAATAATAATAATTAGTTGAAACAAATACAGCAATGAAACAAATAATGTCAAAAATGACATTTAAATTTGAACTGTTTTCTTTGAGATTCAATTTCGTCATGAGGGTGGAGGGGTTACTCCAGACTTATTTGGTATTTTTAAAAATAATTTCATTTGATATTTTTCAAATTACTTTTGAGGATTCTTTTTTGTTATTTATCTTTTTAGATTTTTAGATCCGCAAAATTTGTTGTAAGGAGACATAAATGTAGTTAAAATCTGGATTATGTACTATGTACCAGTTTGTGTGTGTGTGTGTGTGTGGGTGTGTGCGTGTGTGTGTGTGTGTGTGTGTGTGTGTGTGTGTGTGTGTGTGTGTGTGTGTGTGTGTAAATATATGTACATATTCACAGCCTAATTATTCTGGCAGCAGTCGAATAAGCAGAGCACTGCAGTTATTTTTTTCCCACTTAAAGTATTGCTTCACAACAATTGCTGAGCTGCCTTTGAGCAAGGTGCTGAATTGTCAAGCACTTTCTGAAGTTTGATGACTGCACTCTGTCCATTCTGGTGGGTGATCCTTCTCTGTGTCACTAATTGCCAGTCTGAACCCCCTCTAAACGATGAAGGCAGCCACATATTTGGAATTTTGGGGGAAAATACACAGCTGCAGTTTAATTCATGTTCATCCTGTCTAACTAGGTTGGCACTGTGGATGGGAACCTCGGCACCGCATTCTCTAGAACCTTCTTTGTTTTTGGATGTGTGGTGTTTGTTTCTCCGGTGCTCTCTTGACACCAACTATTCGTTGAGGTTTTTAGCATTGTCTGCAAACAAATGATTCAGATCGTTAACGGTGACCTTTTTTCTCTCTCGTTTATCCTTACCAGGTGGCACTGATTCACTTCTCCCTGAAAATTCCTTTGAGGGTTCCAAATACGAGTTTGGCAACATCGGTCTTGCACTCTACAGTGGCCTGTTTGCTTACGGAGGCTGGTAAGCATCATCAGATTGTGAATCACTGCACTGAAATCCATACCTTGTTTATCAAAAGGTAACATCTGCCACCATTCTATGAACACCACATGAACAAAGACACGCTTGTGATGAATATGGATGATCAAGACAGTTTCTTTAATGATTACCTTCACACTTCAGATTATTTGTAACCAAGCTCTTTGTCCTTCTCCTGTATGCAGGAATTACTTGAATTTTGTTACGGAGGAGATGATTGAACCTTACAAGTAAGTCTGACTGATGGTTTCACTGTCGTATAAGCAATCTCGCGGATTAAAAATGTTCATTGTTTGTGTCCATCTCAGAAATCTTCCTCGAGCCATTATCATCTCTTTGCCAATTGTGACAGCAGTTTATGTTCTCACCAACCTGGCGTATTTCACCACCCTCTCAACCGATGAGATGCTCAACTCGGAGGCTGTGGCTGTGGTAAGGGATTTGCGCACTTGGGGAAAAAAAACCAACAGCCCTCCCAAAAAATATATTCATAGGAGATAAAACCAATGAGGTTTTGTCTCATGGCTATATATATATATATATATATATATATATATATATATATATAGTGTGGATCATGTGGGATCGATTGGTGATTAATCGTTTCGGTTTGAAACATGAAAACAAAACATGCTATAGGAATTGAGCTACATAAATGACCTCCACTATGCTACGGCTCTGCAAGGGAGCATTATTTTGCTTCATATAACACCAATCAGAAGTTCAGAACATCCTTTTAAAAAGTATGAGTTGATTAGTTGATCTTAATTGTTCCCATTTAATCACATTCCAATATCTTGAACAAACCAAAGCAGCACACAAACACTGCAGTATCCTGTCTACTGAATGACGCTAATATTCTTCACACACACACACACACACACACACACACACACACACACACACACACACACAGTTAGCTAGCTAGCTAGCTAGAATCTATGCAAGAATAGACACTGTACAGGAAGAGGAGCAAAGAGGTCTTGTCTTCTTGATGCCAGATGAAAAATATAAAACACTTTCATTTTTTGCCCTTTGTCTGCTGTACTGCATTCCTTTTTGAAAGTATTACAGCCTATCCCGCGTATTAAGATGATCAAAGTAATTGTCATATGCAAATTGTGTTGGGACACTGGACTCACTGTCTTAACATCCTGCAGGATTTTGGCAACAGGCACCTGGGTGTGATGGCTTGGATCATCCCAGTGTTTGTGGGGTTGTCCTGCTTTGGCTCTGTCAATGGTTCTCTCTTCACATCATCAAGGTAACACAGCTGCACAAATACCCAGTTTCCTGCAAATGTCTGAAATTCATTCCTCATACATAGTTATGTCAAAATGTTTTGACTTAATACATTTTTGATGAATACTGATCAATGGACATCGTAGGTTATTCTTTGTGGGCTCCCGGGAAGGTCACCTGCCCTGTCTGCTGTCAATGATCCACCCAACCCTGCTGACCCCACTTCCTTCTCTAATATTCACAGTGAGTACTGTTTAATGATCTCATATACTGTACTATACATACAATAAATAGAATGGGCATCACTATAATTATTTCCTTCAAGCAAGTTTAATGTCCTCATCTATTTGGGTTTCCTTCAAAAGGAATCTTGATCTCTATTTCTCAGAATGTGTCGGAGGGCACATTAAATTCATAATCGCCCCTACACCGAGTTTGGCCACCTGTGGCTTAACCAGGCAGGCTGGGCGAAGTTTTGCTATTTGCAAGACATAGCCAAATTACACTGTCCGAAACACTGTCAAAGCCAAACAGTAGTTGGCTAAGTGATGGATGTGCTGACACCACGAGGCAAAATGCATTCCATATTTTTATTCGTCGTGTAGTCTTTTGGGGCATTTGCATGCTGCGCTCAAATGCACCTCTGCCCCTAGTTGACATGGTAATGAGATTTTCTCATCAAATGAAGTCCTACATGAAAAAAATTGCAATTAAAAAAATCATTTCAAGCTTTGAGATGAATCTATACTAATTTAAGGTAAATCCAAATTATTTTATTTCAGCTTTGCTGATTACATAATGTAAAAAAACAAAACAAACAACAACATTGAAATCAGAGCAAACTATCCATCCATCCATCCATTCATTTTCTAATCCACTTATTGTCTCTAGGGTCACGGGTGTGCTGGAGCCTACCCCAGCTGTTTTTGGGCAGCAGGCGGGGGACACCCTGAATTAGTTGCCAGCCAATCGCAGGGCACACACAGACAAAAAAAACATCCACGCTCACACTCACACCTAGGGACAATTTCGACGCATGTTTTTGGAATGTGGGAGGAACCCGCAGTACCCGGAGAAAACCTCAGCAAACTAGTTCTCTTAACATTCTTGCATCAGCAAAGTGCAACAGAACAAGCTAGTTTAAATTAAGTGAACCTGCTGCTGTCAGTGTTGTATAAAAGAGCAACCTTATTAATTAAGTACCAATAAAAAAGTTTGCCAAAGGCTTATATATTCTTTTTCCAAGATATCAGCTGGTCTACATGTTCCCACACTTGTCTGCATGCTCCGCAATAATAAGTACTGTAATTCTTTGAGCATGAATAGCTTTATGATCCAGTTTTTGAATAAATAAAGCAGTAAGACCTTTTCGGTCTGTCCCATTACCTTGTGCGGCCCCTGCGCTGTTGATTCTTTAGGTTTGTCGCTGCTTGTATCGCATGGCGCTGGTCAAGATGCACTGACACATTGTTGTGTTGCCGTTACATTCAACTCTGCGTTTGCAAAGGCCATACACGGCAACCGTCTTGTAAAGTGTTTCCGCGCAAATGAACGCATTGCTTCGTCTTTATAATCTGTGTCAATGTGTGGCCAACCTCAATGTAAACTAGTCCAGTGCGATTTACATCAGGCACCTAAGAACAGAATAAGACTTAAAAAAATTTTTTTTGGACATGGATTGTTAAAATTTTGTAAAAACACTCTCTTTGTATTGAATAAAGTTTTTTCTTCTTTCCTTCTCACCAGTGTATAATGACACTGCTTTACGCCTTCTCACATGACATCTTCTCCATCATCAACTTCTTCAGCTTCTTCAACTGGCTCTGCATTGCATTGGCAATTGTTGGGATGATGTGGCTCCGTTATAAGAAGCCTGAGCTAGAAAGACCAATTAAGGTGAGTCGATTGGATACATCAATCCGAATAGAGCAAAGAACGATATTTGGCCTGATTTACCCAAGTGTTGCACTTACAAAAATGGCCAACAGAAACTGCCCCCCTCCCCGAGATGAATTGCATTGGCTGATTTTATGCCTTGACATGTTGTGTCCAACAGGCAGGTACGAACCAACCTGCAAAGCGGTGCCAAATGATCGCTGCACTTTGTTTGCATGCAAGCACATGAAAACTCAATTGGAACAGTCTGCCAGAGGATTTGAGACAGTGCTCAAATCTGACAATGTTTAAATCCAAGCGCAGGCAAAACAAGAAGTGGCAGGGAGAATTTTCCTGACCGTTTATAACGGTTTTGAAATGCCAGAAACAAAAATAATCATCTAGTCATAGCAATGTGATTTTGGAGCTTGTGAAAGACTGACTGACTTGGAGGCAGTCACAAGAAGAAGTTATGCCATTTCCCTCGACCAAACCACTTTAATTCTGCATTTCCCTCCATCTGGATCATTTCGGCACAGTGACACGGTGGCCTCTCCCAGAGCATTTTTTTCAGGTGTTCTGTGCTTATAGACAACGTGATGCAGGATCCGAAGCACATCCTCGCCATGCACTTGGAACGTGTTCAATCAAACACAACAGTTGATGCGGTTGCTGGCTTCCCCACAAATAACTGGCGAGACTGATTCAATTTCTGTAACTCAGTTATATTTTTGCTTGCCTCGACCACAAACTCTTGGAATTCTGTCACTTTAAATTGTAGTTTGCTCTTGGGGTGCTCTCCCAAATGTCCCAGGGGAAAACCATCAGAGCTACCTAAAGTGCAAAAGCCTCTTTTAAATATGACGGTCTCCACCACTTTCACATCTGTTGCTAACAGCACAGGCAATCCGTCGAGAGCGAGTGATCACATAATTTAGCACACACTATTTGGGGTAGTTGTAAATCAGGCCCACTTTCTGCTGTTTTATTAGCAACCTACGTATTTAAAGTTGTGGATCAGCTCAGCCTGGAACAACAATGTGTACACACTCAAATATGATTTTACCTACATCATTGTATATACCATAACAAGAAAATGGAAGTTTGATAAGCATTATTGACACACTTTGAACAGACAGTCGTGCACTGTCAAAATGCGACCTGACGCTTAATTAAAAAAAAAAAAAACAACTTGGTCACAATTTTGGCAGTCGTAGCTATTTTTTCTTTGTCACGCACCACCAACAAAGATGCATTCATTCGTCCAGATGAATGAATGAACACTGATCTGAGATTAAAGGGCAGAAGAGAAGCTGAATGCTCGTCAGCTGGTCCACTTGCTGCAGGACTCTCCCAGCACACAGAGGACCATTGTGCCATCGCTGCACTTTGTTTGCATGCAAGCGTATGAAAACTCAGGTGCAATATCGTAGAATTTTATGCCGCTAAAATGTGGAGCAGTCCGCCAGAAGATTTGAGATCGGCCTCAAATCTGGCAATGTTTAAATCCAAGCTGATAACTGGTTTTTTTTTTTTTGTTTTTTTTTTTTGAGCTAGCAACTTTTATCTGAAGTGCTCACATTTTTTTTTCCTTCCTGGAAATTTATGTGACTTTAAAGGACATTGAATAGCCTTGTGTAGCAACAAGGAAGATCTATTAGGATGGATGGCATTATCCAAATAGCAACGCTGGGAGGCAAATGTTGCATCCTCAAATGAGACAGACGCAGAAGCTTTGTGGATGTTGTGGGACTGGAGACTCCGGTCTCCTTTTTTCTCCCGCTGTTGCCCTCTCCCTCCACTATCTCCATTATTTGCCTGTCACATTCCTGTTGCTCACCAGTTACATTTGGATTGCTCGGTGAACCGCTTAGAGCAATTGATCAAGGACTCCCCCAGTTCGCTTGCGCTTGATACAATTCCAGATATTCACTACACAGCTAAAAAGGATGGTGTCACACTCATGTGACGGTGGAAGATGTGCTCTGTTTGGTCTCTTGTCTTTAGAAGAGCATCAGGATCAAGAAGAAGTATGGGTATGATGTTGAGCCAAGAGATTTGTTTTTTATATTCTTGACTCGGTCACTATAGGCGCACCTTATGAAGGAAGGAGAGACATTCGATGTACGGACCACAACTTATCCTTAGTGAACACCCGAAAAACAACCCCGTGTGTGTGTTTTTACTTCTCTGTGGCAAATCCAACTGAGCAAAGCAGTGCTTTGAACTTGTGAGCCCTATTCCAATGAAGTGGGAATGTTGTGTTCAACATACAAACAAATGACTGATTTGCATACCTGTCAACTTGTACGTTTTCCCCTTATTTTATACGTTTTTTTTATCATCTCAAATCATGCACGGCGTATTACAACTTTTATACGGGGGAAAAAAAAAACCAATTGTGAACCGATCTCACAAAGACCATTTTGGCTCAAATCCAGATCGTCTCACCTGCTGGTAGCCAACGACAATGCCGTCGTCGATCGCTACTATTGTCACGGCAAACCAGCAAAATCGTATATTTTTTTTCATCGCTGCGTACGGTCGGATTGATAAAGCATGATGTGCGCATGCGCGGTAAGCCGATGTACGGGTTTTTGTTGCTTTGTAAGGGGAATTGTAATCATTTATCATAATAATAATAATAATAATAATAATGATAAAGGGCAGCTATTAGCCGAGGTTGACAGATATGGATTTGCAAATCATGTTTAACCGATATGGAATTAAATGCTCTACAAAGACAAGATGTTTAATGTCAAACTAATGAACTCGATTGTTTTGAGCAAATAATTATTCACTTGGAATGTTATGGCTGCGACATGTTAGGTTCATGCTTTTGTCCTCTCTTGCAGGTGAATATCCTGCTCCCAGTGACGTTTGTGCTCGCATGCCTCTTCCTGATCATCGTATCCTTCTGGAAGACTCCAAAGGAGTGTGGGATTGGTTTTGGCATCATTGCCACTGGTCTGCCTGTCTACTTCTTTGGTGTGACATGGAAGAACAAACCCAAGTGGCTGCTGAATGGAATCTGTGAGTAGCTGTCTTTTCTTTCACTTGCCCTCACATAAAAGCAGCGTTTTGTTTTGTTTTCCCCAGTGTACAACTTTGGCTATGTCGGATGTGTGTGTTTTGCAGTCTCAACCACGGCCTTTTGCCAGAAAGCAATGCAGGTGGTGCCTTAGGAGTCCCGAGTGCTCCGATAAACAGTGGCCTCCAAGCTCTGATGTCACAGCTCATCAATGCTGAGCCCTGATGATCTCTCTCACTCACTGTTGTCTAATCTCGTTGACGTGCGCACACACACACACACACACACACACACACACACACACACACACACACACACACACACACACACACACACTCTCGCTCTCTCTCTCTCTCTCTCTCTCTCTCTCTCTCTCTCCCTCCCCCCAAGTCGTGATGAAGACCACATCCAGCAGGAGTCTGAAGTACTGTACTTCAATGTACAACTTTTGTCCACTGCAGTGTTGACCTCCATTAGTCACTGACAAATCTGCACTTATGTCGTTATATTCTTCTATGGTGTATTTTGTTCTTTGTAGTTCTATTCATTCATTCATTTTGTGTCTAGGACTGTGTAGCAAATGAAAACATTGGTAGGAAGACAGAAACAAAACATAAAACCCTGCTGTGAGATTAGTTTCTTTTGAAACCAAATACTTTTTTAGTATTGGTCTTCTGTTTAAGAATGTTTGTTTAACCAGTTGTGGGTAGTGGAGTGAACCTTGGGCGTCCAAATCTGGTCCTCGAGGGCCACTATCTTGCATATTTTTAGATGTTCCCTCCTCCAACACACCTGATGATCTGATTGTGAATCGGGTGTTTAGGAGGAGAGAAACATCTAAAACAGGGGTGCCAAACCTTTTTTGACCAAAGATCTACTTTTCGATCAACCAACCTCCCGCGATCGACCCGTTACCACACACGTGCGCATATGCACGCATTTGCACACGCATGGCATGATGAGCAACAGCCATAACGGCCCCGAAAATGAATGAAACAGAAAAATAAAGTAGACACAAGAGTTGGTGAGTTTGTGAAAAGCAAATAACTGCCTACCTTAGAAGAGACTGGACACGGAGGCATGGGACGCACTTTTACGCCTTCGGTGAATTGTACATGAAACAAACTCTGAATGAGAATAATACTAACAATAAAAGACATTTTATTGTATTCCAAGCGTAACAGCTTGGATCGCAAGCTGCAATTCCAGACTGCTGACCGCCGACAACTTCCGGTGACGCAGGTCACGCACCACCATAGGTTAAAGGTGACCTGCTTTTTTATGTTGAAAATCCTTTTTTGTGAAAGTGAGACTGATAGGATACTTAGGGTGCCGTGTGCACGCACACAAAAATAAATCACATTAATAACATGCACATAGACACACACGTTTTTTTATTCGGTTTTTTTTTTTTTTTTCTCCCCCTACATCCGTCGTGATTGACTTGGGACCAGTCTGCGAGCTACCGGTCGATCACGATTGACGTATTGGGCATCCCTGATCTAAAAAATACAATATACCGGCTCTCGAGGACCAGATTTAGACACCCTTGGAGTAAACCTTTGATTTGTTGTGTTGTGTCCCAATCTGAATTACCATCATTTGCAGACTATTGAGTCACACCCACAAAATTGAAAACAGAAAAATAATCTGTTCATGTATAGGCCACACTTGAATACAAGTTGCGGGTGTCCTTGTTGTAACCTGGGATATTTACAACAGAGGTTCACAGAAACACTGGAAACCTTTAATTAACACACACCCAGTCTATTACTTGCACCAAAATTGCCCTCCAAAAAGAGTTTTTCTCTGTCCTCGGTTCTGACCTTTCTAATGGTTTCAGTTGTCACCATTTTCGCTGCTCACCAAGAATCACGACGGCCCATGAGTGGAATTGTCCTGAAACCTGAAACCGACCGTAAATAAGAACAAACATGTCTTTTCCCGATGTCGTGTTTTATATAAAAGTGGGTCACCACATTTTCATAATGCTGTCGCCTCGGACACACCCGGTAAACATCGGAGGTGGTCGTGCATATTCAGGGCGTTTTTTTTTTTCTTTTCGTTTTTAGGACGCGGTCTCACATCAGGGTGCACCTTGCTCGATCATGAACCCGATCGCACAGCTGTCGTTGCTTCCTTCCCCTCTGAAAATGGAGACACTCTTTCATTCATGTTTCTTGTGCAGAGCGTGCCTGTTAAGTCCAATTACCACATGGGGATGAATAAAGTTTCCTGAACTGAACTGAACTGAATGTGCACAACCAGTGACCAAGGAGTGAAAATGTTGGTGGCATGAAGCGTTAGCCCGTGAAACTCCATAAATTAGTCACATCATTTTTTGCCTTATTAAAGTCAGGTAATATGGACGTAAAACATATTACATGTTTGTTCGGAATCACCACCAAAATGTTAAGCTCATGTTTTCTGTTCTGTTCTTCATATTTTAAAAATATTTGTGTCTGCGGGTGGGTGTTTATTTCCTTGGCATCAATGTTCGGAGAAACCGATGGACAAGAGACTCATATGCTTCATTTATGTTGTAAATGGTTTTATTTTACTCTGCGGGGGATAGTTGACACAAATGATGAATTCCTGGTTTGTCTTGTCCTCATCAGTTTTGAAATTATGAGTGTCATTGCTAGACTCAAGCTGTTTCTCAACTTTTAGACAACCAACAAAATGTTGTTTTAGTGTTCCTTACGATGGTCAACAATGATCGCCATAGAGACAGTGTTGGAGAATGAAAATCATATTCTTTTTTTTCTCTGTCTTTTAAGTCGAACCCTGCAGCCCTAGTGAGAAGCTGATGGGGGAACTAACTTGTTTTGGACTGTAGATATTTTATTTATTTATTTTCTAGAAAACACTGTTGGTTAGTATTAATCTACTTTGTTTACAGTGCATTTTATAGAAAATGCTTTTCAAATAAATATCGAGTTGTTGTTTTTTTTCTCCTGCATTCTTGTGTTCTCTTGTCTTTTTGTGTTGTTTCTGTTTGATTTGTTGTCCGTTACTGTTTAGCCATATCATTGTTTTAAAGGTGCCTAAATGTTGCATGACCATGTCACATAACACTGCTTGTATTTCACGACTGCATACAGCAACAGACAGGGTAGCCAGCAGGTTAAAGCACCGGAGAAGGTTGTGATTTCAAACTTGTAGGGTGGGTTGTTGGAGAGCAAAAGCTCAGTGCAAAATAGTTTAACCCTTTCAGCGACAGCGGTTACTACAGTGGACAGTTTATCCGGTTGTCAGTTTACAGATTATCATTATTTGTGCATGAAAGGGTTAATTGTGACATTATCCCCTACTAAAACGAAAAAGGTAATCATGGTACTTGGACGGATCAAATCAAACACTGAATCAACAGTCCTAAATAACGAGGTTCGGACACACTAAACCAGGGGTCGGCAACCCAAAATGTTGAAAGAGCCATATACAGTAGGACCCCCCCCAAAAAATGTCCGGAGCCGCAAAATAAATAAATAAATAAAGGCCTTATAACGAAGGCAACACATGCTGTATGTATCTATGTGAGCTATATTAGCCTGCTATCAACATGACTAAGTTGACTACAAATACACAACGAGCATTCGTGATTAAGTTTTTTTTTTTTCCCCCTGCAGTTCGTCCTGTAGATCAGGGGTGCCCAACCTTTTTTGACCGAAGATCTACTTTTCGATAAACCAAACTACCGCGATTGACCTGTTACCGCACGTACTTACCAACGCATGCCTACCTACCTTCGTCGAGACCTGACGCGGAAGCATGGGACGCACTTTTGCAGCGTGTTCACTATCGTAACTCACGTGTACCGTTTTAAAATGCTTCTCTCGGCCCTCCACATTCTCATTCTTTGCCAGTACCCTCGGTGAATAGTACATGAAACACTGTTTTTTTTTTGTTTTGTTTTTTTGCAACAGCCACCTGCCTGGCATCCCGCTCTGCTAATAGAAATGTGTCGCAGGCTGTGACGCAAATCTTCGATGACAGAAACGTCGAAATTTAATATTTATTCTACGCATTTTTACAGCATTGGAAAATGTTACGAATGTTTGTGTCATGTTTATCCTCCTCCAGAAACCATATTAACCACAAAAATATATATATTTCCCCTCCCCGTCTTTTTCCATTTTCGAACATTTTTGAAAAAGCTCCAGGGAGCCACTAGGGCGGTGCTAAAGAGCCGTATGCGGCTCTGGAGCTGCGGGTTGCCGACCCCCGCACTAAACAAACCACTAGGAAAACAAATTGGCAAAACTAAACTTAGACAAACAAACAGCAACTTGATATGACATGAACGAGCCGAGGTGGACGCAGTATCTTAACGGCACAGACATTGACACAAAGGACACCAGGAAAAAAATGAAACGATTCCATTTCCATTTTATGATCCGCTTTATCCTCACAAGGGTCGCGGGGCATGCTGGAGCCTATCCCAGCTGTCTTCAGGCAGTAAGCGGGGGACGCCCTGAACCGGTTGCCAGCCAATCGCAGGGCACACAGAGATGAGCAACCATCCGCGCTCACACTCACACCTAGGGACAATTTAGAGCATTCAATCTGCCTGCCATGCATGATTTTTGGAATGTGGGAGGAAACCTGAGTACCCAGAGAAAACCCACGCAGGCACGGGGAGAACATGCAAACTCCACACAGGAAGGCCGGAGCTGGAATCGAACCCGATACCTCTGCACTGTGAGGTCGATAAGCTAACCACTTGCCCACCAGGCCGCCCACATGAAACGATTCTTAAAACAAAATCAAATCATAGATCACGACAACAATGTTTCCAATATTTTGTGGCCTCTGCTTTTTCCCACATCTTGTGACGTTCGTGGGCATGACTATACCATTGTTCTGCTACTTGCCTTTAAGATTATTATTATTATTATTTACTGTTTATTATGTGTTTATTTCAAAAGGGACAGTATATCTTCATGAACATTAGGGTGTAAATATAGCAGATTATAGCCATTGGCTAATTTTCATCTGTAGTCCCTTGGCAGGTTGCTTAAGTATAACTAGATCAAGAAGTACACAGATAATCTGCTTACTGAACCACTTTTTAAGGAAGTGCATCATGTGCTTAAAAAAAGCAGGAAACCAATGTGGTTCTATTTTATAAAGTAGCTCAGGAGTTACACCCAATGCTTTGTTATTTTTG